AACGTAACCGTAATCAACGTCCTACTGTGACGTGGCACTCATTACGCCACAGGCAAGCACTGCAGCTATATAAGTGGATGCACAGTGCGTATCGATCAGTTCGAGTTCGAGTTCCAGTGTGGCTACCGCCGAAGACATTCCGAGTTATAAAGTAACAGCCAGCCGACTACAAGTTGGAGTATAGCAGCCGTCGCGGAAAGAAGATCCGGACGTGTGTGTAATTGTGTAATTGGGAGCGTGTGATACAGTGATACAAAGCTCCCCGACTGTAAACGTGTAGCCTACTGAAGGCAGACTGAACTGATTTGCGCATAGGGTTATAAAGTGTGAAACCCCGCAACAGTGGTGACAGATTAATGCGATTAGGGTTATAAAGTGTGAAACCCCGCAACTGTGTGATAATTAAGTGTAGCCAATAGTTGTAGATTGTTCAATAAACCAGTTAACGATCTCTACGGCGTCTTCAGTAACGAAACACGTTACATTGGTGTCAGAAGTGGGATCAGTAACGCAAACACGTTACAGTATTAAAAAAAATCTAACACTATTTCAGACAAACATTGCAGAACTTATTGCAATAAACATTTAATATGACATACAATTTTAAAATATAATCCTTTTTAATATATTTGTAAAAGATGTATCTTGTATATATCTGTAACTGATGTGGTTAATGTAGCTGATGCAGAACACATTTTTAATCAATTTCATACCGAGAAATGGCATTAAAATGGAAGTCCACAATGATATTCCTGAGGCACTCAAGTGGTGTGAACAGACACCTTCTGGATCACACTTTTTTATGTGATAACTATATTTATTCTGTTACATGCTGTCCCTTTTGAAGTAGTTTCCTAGTGACTTAATACAGAGAATCCAATGACTGTGCCACTGTTAAGAGTATTCTTAATTTGGCAAGTGCAACCTGCAATTAATCCTGAATTGTGATGACATTAAATCTCCCCTCCTGCAGTGTCAACTTGGGGTTTACCACCCATGACGACCATTAAAAGGAATTCTATAGTTCTCTGAATTTTTTTTAAGGTCCTGACACATACTGACACAATTCTGCTATTGCTCATTAGTAGCAGAAGGAGCAAGAATTTTGCAGCAAACATGATTAGCTCTTGTGTCAAACAACCCTGACGCGATTCAGATGAGATTTCCACCTCATTAGCCAAGTCTGTGGATAGTGACATGTCTGCTTTAATGAACAAGTTCCTTGATTTGTGGTATATTTTCATCTATACCTTTCTTGGGCAGTACTGCCTAGTTTGAAGCAGAATATGATACATACACTGTTCTTACAATCTGATGCTTTCTAATGAAATGCAAATTGTAGACGACATAACACACAACTGTGTTTCACATGGTGTTACTTCTGAGTGATGCAAGCTATTACTTTAGAATGAAGAGCAAATGACTCAGCAGATTCTGCTCTATTTCCACCTGGCAGAGTGGTTTTGTCCTAACTGCAGTCAGCCTGGAAGCTAACTGATTACATCACATATGTAAAAATCAAGTTCACTGTGTGTTTTTCTCATATGCCTTGCTTACTGTGTACATTTGCGCACTTACTTGTTCTACATCCTACCAAACCAGGATCTATGGAAAGCATACAATCTGCATCTCTGTCACATCATTCAAAGGTGGAAATAATCAAGTTTTATCTCACTTAAAATTTATCAAATCAACTGAAGGAAATAAATCACACTCTGTATATGTACCTACAGAGGATAGTAAGCATGTAACAAACAAGAAATAAGCGAACAAGAGTGATGCAATTCAAATGTTTCAACTATTCAGCCAATGTTAGCAACTGAAACAGTAATTATTTCCAAGTTTCTTAACAAATAAATAGATGGATATTTTAACTGTGCAACACAGATGATGTATATAAAACAACATATCACTTTTGATTAAAAAATATGGCAAGTAATTATAGTAACATTAATTAAAATAAGCTAAATGTATAAGTATTAAAATAACTTACATGAATGGTTTTCCTTCATGGATAAACTGTAAATTGAAATCTGTCCATTGGCACAGAAGGTGATTAGCCTATCGCGAAGTGTGTTGAGAAGAAGAACTTGAGCAGAAACCCGTGCCATTTTTACAAACATATTATCTAATCTAGTATCTCGTGGGTAGATACGGATCTCATCCCTGTTCTCTAAAATGCTATAACAACCCATCACAACATGGTCTCGCCACCACAACAAACCACCTGTCACAACAAAGTCCTTTTCTTGAGTCTCATTTCCAAATAACTTCCATTTACGAGACAGCATTGAATAATGTGCCAATCCAGTTCTTCCAGCTACAGCTAGATTTTGACCTTCAGAGTCAATGGCAGTATACTGAAAAAAAGAAAACTTCAGTAAACAAAAAGCAAGAAGCAACAATGGTGTGATACTATAGGATGTCAACTTACAAAAAATCTCAAGAGTACTAAAGAATATCAACAATGACCTATACATTATAGAGCCTTGTGTCAATACTATCATGTTCTTAATTATGACAAGACTGTTCCTCTGACTGCACCACAATGGAACTGGGATCCTCATTTAATGTTATCCAATGTCATGATTTTCATTCGGTCAGTGTTCAATTTCTATCACATCAACACTATTATAGTTATGTTAATTTACAAATATATAGGGTGGTCTTGGGATAAGACATAAGACTCTCACTTAGTAGGTCCTAGGTTTAATACCAGACTCAATCTATGAGAAGATATTTGTCTGCCCAGATCAAAACCTGCAGCTCTCTCAACTCTAGGAATGTAATGAGTACTGGGCTGATATTGTAGCTCGTAACCCACATCAAACTAAAGATACGTCTGGCCAGCTATCTCTCTTGGATTCTCTTACTGCCAATGACAGTGTTCTCAATAGGAGTATTGGAACTTGCCTCATAGATTCCTTCATCTTGTCAGAAAGATATAGGGTAGCAAGGCAAGTAAGGCAGTAAGCAGGAGAATTAATTACAAATAGGAAATGATTTCACTCAGATTAGAGTTAAATTAGGTTTCAGTTTGATAGTGATAACTATCACACCACTGGAGCTATGCATATAAAGTTTACTATGGAGGCTGATCATAATCATAAAAATATATCTGATATGAAATATTGAATGCCATCGAGCAATTACTAACAATAGCGGCAATCTCAATTTTTGAGGTTATCTCTAAAACATTTATCATAATTTTGTCCTCAGGTTAGTTCCAAAAGTCAAAGTTATACAAATCTATAACAGTTAAAATCTCTATTCCGGGAAATAATGTATTCCATGAAACTCTAAAACACATGTTACTGTCATACGGACCAAACATTAAACTAACTAAAACTCTATACGGTAAAAGCCATAACTATGCTCGTGTGGAACTGAATGTTGGACATTAACGAGAGTACAGACAAGAAAGATGGAGATTGGCTACACAGCTTCTCTGAACAGTCACAGGATACATGAGCACAAATACATAATGCAGATCTCATCTCAGAGAACTAGGAATAACAGATATCAATATAATAATGGACAACAAAAAAATTCTGCCAGGGTTGTCTGAGGAAAAAAATAGAGCAATTTTAATCTTTGCAATTGGTTTAGAGCAAGTTATTTATAGCTGCAGACACATCAAACACATGAAATAAAACTTAAACTAAACATAATCTAAATATCTGTAATAGCATTTCCTCTGTTCTGAAGGCAGTTATTATGATGCAACCTTCTTGAATTAAGTCATGGTAATTCCTTCACTGTGGACATCATGTCATAGCACTGAAAGTTGCTGCATTGCACCAAGAGTTAAAGCTAGAGACTCTTACCAGTGCAGGGGAAGTTTCTTTCAGAAGATGCATTACACTACTTACATCTCTCCCAAATGCAAATGAGAAATGATAACCACTATACCTCATTCAGTTACTACTTCTGATGCTAAAAAGCTCTATCTGTCTGGTATAAATGCTAAAACAGCACATCAACTTACTCTAATAGGCCAGTTAGTGCCCGAGTAGGCTGATGGGATTGGCACAACTGTCCACTGTTTACTTCCTGTAAGCATACTGGTTACGATTAGATTCCCTACATCACGAAACATGTCATCTGAGCCATACAGAGAAGACAGTTGGTCCCTTGGACGTTCATGGTAGACCTTGGTCAAATTGTCACCCAAATTTACATACATTCGATCTTCACCTTGGAGATACAAATGGCTCTGATGACTCTGAAAAAAGAAGACAGCTGTAAGAAAATATGGGAGTTAAGTGACAATATAATTAGAACACTGAGCATAACAATGTAGGATAGGTAACAGATTTGGCTGGCCCCAACATCTATCCTTCTGACCTCTTATTACACCATTATCATGTGATATCTGTTTCACATGAAGGAATGAAATAAAAACTCAATGAAGAATGCACATTTTTTTCAGTCATATTATAAAAATTGATCTACAACATTGAAAAATTAAACAAAAATGTCACAAGAAACAGAACATAATTTTTTTCAAAAACTGAAGTCAATCAGTGTCTGAAGTGGCAGCCTCATGATCAGCACTATTGAAACCGGTACTGATGGGACTGAGCATGCCATAAATACTTCATAACTTAAAATGTAAAGTTAGGACTTTTACATTTGTATACACAACTATTAACCTTTATCATCTAAAATTTGGATTTTAAATCACCCACAATTACAGTATGGTGGCCAGATTTTAACTTGGTGATAAAGGTACTCATGATCATAACACAGACTGGTCTCTCTCTCTCATTTTAAGAGCGTTAGTGAAAATTCAAAGATGATTTATCCAGAATGTTCTGTCATATTAGTAAGCTGGTTTTCAGGCTTATATTGTTAAAAATTCAATAAACTTCTTAGAAAGGAAAACACAAAATATGGGCATGTAGAAAGAACCTGAAAATATCTATGTGAAGTTCTAATACCATCCCTTACACTAACTCACTCATGGAGCTGAGCCCTTCTTGAGAAGCTGCCAACTGTGCAGCTACTCAAGAATTTCCCAGCACTTTACGGAACCCGAAGGTTCATCACCATGTTCACAGGAACCCTCCACTGGTCCCTATCCTGAGCCAGATCAATCAAATCTATACCATCCCATCCTATCTGAGATCCATTTTAATATTATACACCCACTTATGCCTTGGTCTTCCCAGTGGTCTCCTTATACCATACTTGTTATATTTGAGGTTCTCACTGTGATGAATATGGAGATTGTCTTCTGGGATGTCAGCTCATGAACATGCCAATGTTTTGGAAAGATCAAGGCAGAAGAGCAATATTGACTGCGCCACACTGAAGAGTGAGGCAGGGTTTCCTCCAAAATGTTGGGTACCTTTCTACCAGACTACACAGCGTCACATCCCACAAGACACCGATCTTCATACCATACATACACGAAGCTAAAGCCCACAGATTGTGGTACATCATAGCAGCAAAGTCCAAAGGTCATAAGGGAAGTATAACACAAGCAACATGAACATCTAGTTGTTTCATATGATATTTAACAATTCTGTATCAACAAATTCTATTTAGCATCAAATGACATGAAAGTGATGATTAACAACAAATTTATAAGAAAAGTTGTTGAAAGAGCTCATTATGTCACCTTGAAATGTATTATTCAAACATCAGCATGGAACAACAGAGGAAGATTATGATACACCTCCAGCAAGCTAACCAGTACCCTGGCCCTCATCTGAATCAGCTTCTTCCCCATACAAGACACATGGTTATGGCCAATTTGGTTCCTCATTATCAGCAATTCATCTGTTATTGACATTAATATACTTCACAGATTGCTGTGGATGACAAATGCCTGGAAGGATTGAGGAAGATTATGAAAAACCTGTCAAGATAACCTGTATCTGCACTCTAATTTGAATCAGTAACTTCCAAATAAAAGACACAGTTTAGGCCAATCTAATCTCTCAGTATCAGCAGTTCATCTGTTACTGATATAAACATTTACTTCATGGCTTGCTGTACATGACAAATGTAACATTTGACTGTTAATCAGTTCTGTGAAAAATAAACAAATTTACAATGGGAAAGGGGCTTCTAACCTTTAAGTTATGAGTCTTGAGGTTAATGGCTCACCAATTTTCATTTGAAAATTATTTACACAATGAAGCAACTGAAAGTCTTATAAAACTAATTACACATTGTAAAAGAACTTTTCACATTTTCACACAATGATAATCTGCACAATCTCCTAATATCATCCATTTCCCATAATAGAACTGTAAATATACAAATTATCAACATTTCTTGTCTGTCATCAATATTTTGGACTATATAATTAGTGTCTTGACTTTAGCGCAAGCATATTAATAAGTCGGTCAATCCTCTCCTCCAAGAAAAGTTTTCTTTTATTATTTTAAATGTCAAACAATCTTAACCTTTTTGCAGCACACTTCAGATCCTTCTACTACCTATCCAGTCATCAGCAGCCAGTGGTTGACAAACATATCCTACAGGATTAATAAATGAAAGAACCCTTCCTCTCACTGAAGACAAAATTTCCAAACAACCAAACATATAAATGGTGCTGGAACAAATGTAAATTAGGTCACAGGTCCTGACAAGCCTCAAAACCAAGAACAACTGTGCTGGCAAGGACCAGCAAAAATTTACTGGAATGAAATTAATGATGACAGCTCAATAGACTAGCTCCATTACTTGCAGAAACTGATTTCAACTTGCATGAAAATAATTCTGGAGATGATATGACTCAGCAGAGACAGTACTATGAGTGACAATGACATATTATCAAATTACATCAATACCATTGTGATGCTGTGAATAAAGGAGGTTAGTTATATAGTCTTTTTGAATTCTTGGGCTGAGAACAAATTTAAAACTTTCGTACTGATGGATTTTGCCCTAAGAGAAGTTAGAAAAAATTGGCTGTTGGCAACAATTCTTGGTCAATTACACAATAAATCCACATGTCTGGCTACCAGCAGAAAATTATTAATATTTCATAATAATGTGAACCTTAAATTAATAAACGACTGGTACGATTCTTGAGAAATAAAAATCACATTTAATTTCATTCACTTTATGTCTTAACAATTTGTATACTCTAACATGTATATCAGTGTCATTCAGGTTAACCACAAAATAACTACACAATGCCTTAGCATGTGACTAGTTTGGTGATGCTTAAGCTGGGTTTTAATCAATTACTGGTTCTCCAAACAATTTCTCACTGCAGTTAACATTTTGAAAACAATAACCTGAAATATAACATATATACACACATACATACCATACAGGGGTTTACAGTTAATGCACTCTTCACAAATTCTAATTGTATAACACAGTCCAAACTGCTGTTTCCCCCTGGATCATGGTCAGGTTGTCGCTTCACCATCCACAACTGATATCCTTCTGCTGACCATTCCTGGAACACAGAGCAATACCCAATGATGAGACCAAACATGACACACATTAATTTTGATGGACCTGTCAGAGATCTGTGGTTCGAACACCCAACTGCCCAATTCCTGGGATGATGTGCTTGGTTGTGTTTTAGTGATTCAGGTGCATTATACTGAGGCCATGGAAAGGAGTCATATGGATGGAGAGGATGATGTCACTTTAGATGTTCCCCTCTGAGCCCCCTTAGCCTATTTCAATCACCTTAAGTGCTTGTCACCATTTAAGGCTTTCATTACCAGGATCCATGTGAACTAGATAATTAGACGATAATAGAGAATGGGGATGAATGCATAAGACAGACGCTTAAGAGGTCAAGGGAGATGTGGAGAGACTTTAATCCACAGCCTCAACAGAGGAACTTGTGGCTGCAGATGGTGTGGGGGAAAAAGTTGTTTTCTTGCTCCAGTCTATTTAGAAGGGAGACTGGTGGCCTAACTGTTATATATCAGACCCTTTCATCAATGAATCCAAGGTAGTATACCATACTTGATCTGAGTGTGGTTTTTTCCATAATAATCAAGTGCTCACATTAAAGGTTCACTCAGCCAGCAATCCTATCCAAGGGGGCAGCAGAATATCTCACATGGTTCTTCCCCAAGGAGAATACACTATCCCAAAATATATATGGAAATCAGAAAAATCAATAACCACAACAGGAGGTTTTTACCACATGCAACATAAAGATTAAAATATACAAAACAAAAATTTCAAGCTTTGCTTTGTATGCGTGGGATAATAAACACTGGTTACAACAAAAAGGCTTAATATAAACAAATTAAAATTTATGCCAGAAACATGATTAATTTGTGGATATTAACTTCTGGTAGCTGACACCCTGAATGCACTTCAAAGACATATAAAAATGTACATTAAAAAGAAATTGAGTTCTGAAACCTTTCCGTATTTTTCCGATCACTTTGCAAATATAATATTATACTTGTATAACACTGCTCTGTCTTGCTGTTAAAAAAGCTGAGGATAAATACAGTTACCATTGGACATATTCCATCAGTCTTATGCAACTTTAGAAACTTCATCAGAATATTCACCATTATTCTTATCATTTGTTCAGTATCCTGACAGACTAATGTTTTAAAACTATTTAATTCCTTCATTATACTCACCATACTGCGTATATGCAGAGGATTATAACGTACTAGATCTACATGTAGGCCATAATCCCAACCAAGAGTACACATCAGTAGTGCCCCAAATGTGCTCCAAAGAGAGAGACCACCTTGTTCCCAAGACACAGCCATCGCACAGCCATCAGGAGTCCATCTAATGCCTTGAACATGCCCAGGAGAGCCTGGGTAATCTTTACTAGACAGGACAATATGGTGCGACACTTCAAGTCCACCTGTACTCTCATCAATACAATATACCACAGCCTGAGAACTGGAAAACAATTATAATAAAAATGCATTAATTTCCAATCAGAATATGTGTGTCTCAGTTACTGCAATGTAAAAACCCCACAACATAAATATCCAAAATCATTTCACATAACAAAAAATAATAGTTTTATATATTCCTTCGCAAATATATTTCTGTGCAGCTACACGGTGCCTCTACTAACTGCATGGAGCAGAATCCTTCTTGAGAAACTGTCACTTGACTACCAAGAAATTCACCCTTTCCCCCTTTTATGGGTGCTGAAGATTCACTATCATGTTCACAAGAGCACATCAGTGATTTCTGAGACAAGTGAATTCAATCCACACCCTCCACCCCATTCTTCAAGATTCACTTTAATGGTATCCTACCATCAACCTCCAGGATTTCTTCCTCTCAGATTTTTCTTTCCTATTATCCCTCCAAAATTTTTATGACAACTTTTAGGTCAACTGCTAGAAGTGTACACCCAACCTCCCTTCTTTCATCCTCACACTGTTACACTGCATACAACCATTCACCAGTGTGACATTTATTTGACCTCTTTCTCTGATTTACCAGAGAGCAATGTGCTACCCCTAAAACTTCAGAAAATAATGGAGAGTTTGAAGGACAACTCAGTCAAGCTCTCAGAACCAGTCTAATAAATGTTTGCCAAATGGTTGCCAAACTTTGTTTACCCTGACCCCAATTCAAAATACGCTCTGACATTCATGCTTATTTTCTGGTACTTCTCAACATTGAAATGAAAATAATTCTCCTGATCCTGGATGCACATACTAACGACCAAGGGTAAAAAAATGGTCACCCTGTCAACACTGGTGACAGAACATTTTTGGCTGGCCAAATTTCTCTAAATTTTAAATTTTAAATTTAGAGAAAATTTTAAAGGATTTTAAAATTATAACTAAAGATTTTATAGTGCTACTACAGGAAAACCAAAATCGACGTGTGCAAAATAATCTACATACCAGACAGATATCAACGAGGTAGATGTTGATAATAACGAAGAAAGTAACAATGTGTTTTTTAAATGTTAAATTTTAGACTGGGTTCACTGTGGCAGTAACGTAAGAGTATACACCTGATGATGGCCGTTAGAGGCCGAAACATGTAGTGTAGAAGAGAGCAAGATCAAAGACATATAATATATATTGTTTGCACTTGGGACGGAGTTTGTGTCATTTGTCGCCTAGTCTATGTTTTACAAACAGTACAACAATAGGAAGAAATTAATCCTGTCCATGAATCAGAGGTGAAAGCCACAGAGAGGTACCAGAACATACTGATCTACAGTTCTCTGGTGACCAAATTTTTTGTCTGGATACCATATTTTCTAAAATATTTTAACCCATATTGAGGACCCCAGCAATCTTCATTTCCATCATAACTAAAGGTTAAGAACACAAAGTTTATTGCCAAGCAAAAATTTGATCTGAGGCATGACACTGGGAAACAAAGTAATGGCTTCAGTTTGTAAGTTTTCATGTGAATAATAATTACCAGCAACTGCTAAGGATGTTGTTTTGCAAGAAATGTCTTGAGAAAGTACAATCCAAAATATCTAGAAATTAAAACCACAACATATGTTTAAGACACCACATACTGCTTGTTAACTACCTAGAACTTCTATGCCCCAGATAAAAACCCTATAGCAGCATTTTCTTATAAAAGGTTATATAATAACCTTCAAGTATTCAGATGCTAAAGCATAAAGAAATCTTGTCTTATTTTCAAGTTGGGGAGAAATAATGTCATATGAGTATGAGTACGAAGGGTGAGCCATAAAAACTATATGTCATATGCAACTTCAGCTTTCAAGGTATAGTCACTTCGAATGTTAAAATGCTCCATTTCAGAATACTTTGCAGTTACCACCTTCAGGATCCAAACTGAAAATGGCACTGCAATGTATGCTGAAATGGAATAGCTTCAACATACGACCAGGCTAAACGTCAAAAGCTGAAGTTGCACATTATACACAAGCCATAAAAATCCAAGGATAAAAGTATATTCCATATAAATTTAAATATTATCTAAGTATTAAGTATCTTGACAGTCAAAGGAAACAATCTTACTTTTTCCTTCCAAATGCTATAAGACGATATTTATGATTCACACTGGCACACGTAGCATCTTCTATATTCTGGGCCCAAATACCTTGCACTTGCTGGAAAAATATGAGAAAAGTATTGACTTACATTAACAATTTGATTTGGTTCATTCTGGTCCGTCATGCTAACAATATCATGAAAAGTTAAAAGTTCCGTCTAGTGTGACTGGTTACGATTTTTCTTATCTCAATTATTTATGCTGTTACATGTTTCGGTCTTCAGAGACCATCATTGGAGGGACATACATTGTAACAGTAACTTCCAACTGTATTGATGTAAAGGTGCCCCTCTGATGATGGTCTCTGAAGACCGAAACATGTAAGGGCATAAACGATTGAAACAGAAAAATCTTCACCAGTCACACTAGATGGAACTGTTTAACTTTTCATTACATTATCAATATCAGAAAGTTAAAATATGTGTGCAAATGTTATGACAAAATAAAAAAAAGTAGTAGTGTAACAGGAAAATAAAGTGAACATGGTGCTATAATAGCCATAAAGCCACTTTATTATGAACAGATAAGGGCTAAAAATATATGCAACAACTTATGATTTTGTCATGTTACTCCAGATCATGCATTACAATTCGATATGCACTGAGAGAAACAAACAAAGAGAATGTCTTATCATTACTTCCTCATGTACTCCTGGTATTTGCTTATTATTTAAAACACCAAAAAAAGAAAAAGAATAAGAACCAATGAAACATCATGCTTACAAGCAAACATAAATTGAAACATGATAGTCTAGTCCATGAATCTTAAGCATGACCTAATATTATTATAAGCATAAAGTTCTTTTTTTCCAGCCTGATTATTATCTGAAACTGATAAATACATATGTAGCAAAATTTGTAATGTTTTAATGCTTACAGGGTACCTACAGGCTGATATGATTGCTAGAAATTTCCATCTAGCTAATGTCTTCGGCAACTTTATCATGTGACCTATTTAAGTTTCCAGGGTACATATGATCAAAGTGATTTTTGTTGTGCTTAAGAGAAGGGAGAAACAGAAGGGTGTGATGACATATATTTTTGAGATCCTTTGTTGACAGCAATTCACTCTGCAGAAGGAATTTGACACTTGATATTACTTTTTGCTATGAAGTTTTATCTACCTGAAAAGTACATTATCTGTAATTCAGTTGGGAAACTTCTGACACATGTGGACTTCAAATTACCAGCTAATAAAATTTTAGAGTCCTTTAATTTTGAATTTGTATTGGTAGGAATAAGGAAGACTGTGAAGCTTCTATGCAGTTCTTGGCCAGTCTTTTAAAGTAGATTGCTTCTGGTCAAGAGTGAGGCATTAAACTTGTGTCCCTTCTCACAAGAAGCTGGATGTATTACTCACAAACTAATTTAAATTCATATATGTACTTTAAATGGGAATGTTACAGCTAAATTAATGGAGTAACTACTGTTTTTTGGGTCTTATGACACCAACTAACCTCATGTTCTGGCAACACTATATCTGTATATCAATGTGAAGAGTTATGCAAAAAATTAACCTGAGAACTTAAAAGCTCTACTGTTAAGCAGTCAGTTACATTATTATATTTTCACTTTGTCTTAACCAACAATGTGTAAATGTTATGCACATCCCCTCCTTAAGCTGGCACAATTCTAATGAACAAATAAGACCTGGCCAAACGAAAGTGACAAGTGAAATGTGTGGGCACTGATGGGTTTAAGCTGATGTGGGATTTCCTAGCTTATGATTCATGACCTAGATTTACAAGTAGATCACAAATGTAAATCAATAAAAAAAAACACACACACACAGACAACATTTGTGGTTTTCATGGCAATTTATAACAACCTTAAAAACGCAGAAACTTTTGAGTATTTACATCGGGCTCAAAAAGCAGGCATAAAAATACCACCTATAACTTAATAACGCAGCAATTACAAAAGATGTACATGTAGTGATAACAAAACTGTTACGCAGTATACACATCTTATAACAGTACAGTGATGCTTACATTTGGGTCAAACCTTAACGAAGCAGCTGTAAGAAATGCTGCCCGACCATCGTTCAGAACAACAGCAAATCCACCAACTAGAGGTGAATATTCTATATCCACAATATACGTATTGGATTCCAGAATTGGTATTGCTGCAAATCATAAGGCAAGAATAAACAACAACACAAACTGCATTCAGTATTTAAGCTTATCATGGAATACTATGAGGAAGTGATTGCATCTGGCTTCAAATTCTGGAAGCATAATGAAATTAGTGACACTAACATAACCACCAGTTCTCATTCATCTTCAATGCTGCTTGATGGGGAGGGGGAACATTGTTAACAAAACCCTATGGTATTTGTAAAACATCCAGAGTTATGCTTAATCTAAGAGTCACACAGCAGTGGTTATGAAAAATTCTGTGTTCTAGGATACAACATCTGCTGAATGCTTCATGCTGGTTTCTTACTTTCCTTACTCTTCAAATCTGACGATGGCTGTAAAATGTCCCTCAGTTGACTTTCACTGAACTACATGGCCTTATATCCCAGAAGACAGAACTCTTCATCCAGAATTATGACCAAGAATGTTAAATGTAATGTAGTTTTGTAAAATAAGAAAAAGCATTAAAAAAAAATTGTACTTCTATATATGAGTATGTTAAGATGGCTCTGTGAGCAATATACTTCAGAACGTTTGCACTGAAAGTATTTAAGACAGACATTGGTATGAAGTCAAAGAAACTTAATACTTATTACGAGAAAATCTTGTGTTGAGGAATGTCAGCTGGGAATTTAAGCATTCTAGGTGAGTAATCAACAAAGAGTTAAATATACCAACTTAGGGATTGCATGGTTCTCCTCAGTCTCCATCAGCATTAAGAATTACGGAGGAGCAGTAATTGTACTTTAGTTTACTATATTCTAGGATTTTCCTTGAGGGAACAAATTAAGAAATACGAATCTAGACATATGGTAAATCACATATTGTACCTCCTGTGGCAACAACTACACTCTGGATAATTCACAAGGGTGAGATGAAAATTCAGTATAAACACATGAACTGCAATTAATAAATATAAATCCTTTCATTTCTCATGTTATTAATTATTTTCACATATAAGGTCAAGAAACAGACTATTTACATAAATAATACTACAGTATATGAACAGATAATTAAATTTCTGCTAAATATAGTGCCAGAATAAGTACACCAAATATTTGAAAATAATGGTTATTCATTGTTTCTGTTCCTTTAACATACAAATCTATAGCAATAATTGATAAATAAGAATGAGAACCTTTAGAAACTTGCTGGTCAATACAGAAAGGCACCCTTCTCAGATCAAGACAGTAATCTCTGTTCTGAGAACCATCCCATCTATATCTCAGCACATGACCTCGAGTAGTCGCCAGCATCAGCTCATCGCGAATACAGACCATACTGGTGATTCCCCCTTCAATCCCAACTTCTTCATCCTGCAACACAAAATATACTTCACCATCAGAATTATAAAACACAAAACAGGGAAATGTGCGCCCACACTTCAGGATTTTCTGAAATTAAATTAAGAAAATAAAGAAGCAACTTATCTAAAAATACAGGAAGCCATTATTTCAATCATTATGTTACATGGAAAGGAAACATGGTTTCGTAATGAATAAAATAAAATCAAACAAAAATGAAAATGTATGAAAACAATGTAACTGTACATGAATTAACTGAAGAATGGTAAAAATTATATATAATGTGAAATTGTATAATTTACACTTTTTATCTTGTACTGAAAATATGTCAAGATTATGCTTGGCTATGAATGTAATAGGTTAAAGGTAAAGGCAAAGTTGTCCCTATGCTTAAGTAATTAAGCACTATGCCATGAAGGCACATGGGGGAATGGATGTATAGATCCACATTTTCTTGACATCGGCATTAGCTGGAGGTGAGTGGTCAGCTTCACACGCCAGCCACTTTACCCCCAGGGAAAGAGCCTCTGGTATCCACTGAATAGGAAGTTTGGTGGACCCCAGAGCTGGTCTGGATGTTGAGAAGAGAAAATTCTTGACTCTACTAGGACCTGCACTCCAACCCCTCGTTTGTCAAGCCTGTAGCCATTTGCTACAGAAACTATATTATCCCAGCTCCTTATGAATGTAATATATATAAAAAAGGGTACAGCTATCCCTGTAACAGGCTGTAGAGGCCCATAGGGTTATGAAATGTCAAGGATTCCACACTCTAGACAATCGGCTCAGAGATTGCAGTGAGATTGTCAGCCTTATGTGCCTGCCGCCTTTTGCCCCCAGAAAGATTCCTGGTACTCATTTCTGTTATAGGATCAGTCAATTCCAGAGCCATGGTGTAGCTGGAAGGATTAGGTCAATTGAAAAATCCAATGACATCAGGAATTAAACCCACAACCTTCTGGTTTGTAGCAGTGCTTCAACCAACTACACTATTGCATGCCCCATAGTACATATAAGGGGAAACAGTATGTATGTAGGAACTCCTGATGGCAAAACCTTATGATAAACTTGAGAGTGAGTCACATATGAGAGGATTCATTAGAAAATTGTTTATGATGAAGATAGGACCAACTGCTATCTCGTAACTGGTTTCAAAATATCATGTTTCAAAACTGCAGTGTACATGTGACCTCCTAGGTTCTGATCTATAAAAGAACCATAATGGATAAATATACAATTTTGCTCAAAATGGCTTATGGTAAAAAATACAGAGAAGCATACTCAAAAGAACCACAATTATTTATTACTAAATTAAGATTGTTCATAGACACCAAAATACTGTACATATGTACAGTGTAAATACTACACACAAACATGCTTTATCATATTAAAATCATAGTTTCTAACTTCATGTTAATGATCACATCATGAAAACTAAAACATTTACCAAAGCTTCTCAAAGAGCACATACTCTTACTTCTTCTATTCAAACCATATATTGAAGGAATTAAGAGATTTTTAATTAATCTAAAAAAAACATTTTTGTCTTATCCCAAGACAAAGAACTGATTGAATTAGTGACAGGTGATACTGCAATGCCTGAAACTAGAGCTCTCCTATGTAATCAGCAAATTACACAATGACTCACCAATGTCAGATGAAGAGGTGGAATGACTTCTTTGATAAATAATTCAGCACTATCCCTGCGTAAATTTGGATGTGGTGAATCCACTTGCTCATACAGACCCTTCTGTTCAGCAACTACACCAAGCTTATATAGAAGCAAGTAACCACCCGATGTCTGCAACAGACAAAACTGTATTCCATTTGGGAACATAAGTTTAACACAACTTCATGGATTTGCTGCTTTTCTTCACTTTATGTCAGGCTGAAGAAGCAGTGTAATCTGTCTGAAAGGATGTGACAAAAGAATAAGAAACTAACTATCTGTATGTCAAGGACAATTCGTAAGCTCTTAAGAGAATCAACTCTCAAAATCAAACAAAAGTTTGTAAATGGGAATTACTACTGATTTCAAAGCATGATCACATGCAAAGTTGTGTCCTTCAGATATTGCTTCATTAAAAAGTAAAATTATATCAAATTTAACTTCTACAATTAATACTATTATTACTGATTGACTTTTGAAACAGATGGAGAAATGTAGGGTTTTTAAACGGATGGAGAAATGTCTGAATGGGATGGAGAACAGTCTGCAAGGATGGAAACTGTAAATACAGAACACATCATTCTAACTAAGGTAAAATGTTAGTGGATTTAAATTTAGTTGTGGTTATAAGACCTCAGCAGAATGTAAGGTTGCTGCAGGTTGATACTGTGTGATCTTCATACTCCTGTAGGGACACATGGCATTCCAATTGTGCCAAAAATTATTTTCACCACAAAAAACTAAACAAGTGAATACTGACAGAGAAGGGGGGAGACATAGGCGCTCTATCATAGAGAACCCATATCTTTACAACTCTTGACAGCCCTGTACAACCTGCTATAGTATCATCGAAAACCCACTTGGACATATCTATTTAGTCCAAACTAAAATACTACTTACGGCAACAACAAGCATACTGGAATCTGGGCGCCATTCCACAAGTTCGTTCATTCCAATGTCTTCTATTGATTCACATGCTCTGCGATGAATGACTATAGGAACACATGGCTGAAAAGAAAGTACTTTCTGCGATACTGGAATAACGTGACCTATAACATACTTACTTCCTAATTCAGTAACAAGGTACATAGTTCATCACTTGTTCTGTATAACGAGTTTCATACGAACAAGAGAACCGCAGGTATGATTAAAATGGCCAAATATAGTACTGTGGTTAACTAACCTTGCAAAACCATACAGACAAACAATCATCTGTCAGTATGGCAAATAAAATCTTATCCCTATTACAAATCACTTGACGGATTGAACAGTGGCCTAACTGCGGGATATTTAATACTTTGGGCCAGCCAACTGGGAAGTACATTTTGGTTACGCCCAATGTGTTTCAAAATGCACGTAAATAATTCAGTCATCCACACACCATTAACACCATAACTATGGCCATCTTGTATATTCCTTCGTGTCTCATACCATGTACAAACATCCATTTATTGGCTAATATTCGTCCATTCGCTTTTAACTGCGTAACATTTACCAATCATATTCTCTCTTTTACTGGGTACAGTCTCGAGAATATTTGATTCAAATGAGATATTGTAGTATTAATCGTGGTGTGGATTTTATAGGCATGCATACCACAGCAAAATGTGCCATTTACAACATATACGCGTGCTGCACATATCAAAATATAATTTTCGTAAGAATAACATTATTAAGTATATGTGTTGACACCACTGTACTGCTGTACGTACATATCGATACATATGGTATTGTCATCTATATCCTGTTAGATCACCCTGTGAAAGACGTAACGAAACTTTGCATTTGTTACAATATAATAAACGAATAACATTTAAAATGTTTTGTTATTACATTACGTAAGAACAGTTGACGTGCTTAAACAGCAAAACAATTTACCATCAATTAAAGGCGTATTTCAACATCGATTATTTCGACTACCCTACCTACCTATTCAAATCGGTTTGGCCTGATCCGAACCGGTCCGGAACTGAATTGGATTAGCTCAAAGCCGGTGTGATGTAAATAGCTTTCGTAGCTAGCCTAGGTGTAGTCAGGCGTTTCATTCGGTAGTAACATTGCGCACATTTCACACACATCTGTAGATTTGTTGGTCATTAACGGTCATTAATACTCAGGATGCAAATGAACGAACATAAATACATGTGGAACCACGCAGGAACTGCGCTTTTAATTTCGATTTGGTCGGATGGTTCAATTCAAAAACAACTTCGAGCTACTCTCAGAAACCAGCCTATATGGGATGGCGTTGCACGATATATGATGAGAAAGGGATTTCGCGTAAATGGGAAGCAATGTCGTACGAGAATAAAAAATATTCTAGTTCGCTACAGGGAAGTAAAGAAAACTGGAAACTTTAATGGAAGTGGCATTGAACCGTTTTACAATGACGTAGATCGTGTGATGACAGCTAGAAACATGCAAACATCTGCAGATACTTCATCTCGTAGTGTGCCTTCTACAGGTAATTCATTAAATCGTTGGAACTTTTCGGTTTTTTTTGTAGCTCATTGAAAATAGAAATAACTGTATTTGTTATTCTCTTTTCAGATCCATTGGGACCTAAAGAACAAAAATACAATTATCAGAAGTCCAACGAATATACTGACCAGGAAATGGTACAAGTGAATATCAAATCGGAACAAAATTCACCGCCGACTATATCAGGTATTTGTTTTTCTGTGTCATAATATTTCAGTATTGCACAAATAATAGTATCTGTTCTGTTCATCACCGCCTTTTTTTTTTCAGATGATAGCACACAAGAATTACAAGATCTCTCTCAGGATTCTGCAAACCAGCAATTTTTCCAAGGTCTTGATGTCACATTGGACGATGACCAATCATCCTCTTCCATACATATGACGTCATCCGCAATCCGAAGTTCACCTTTGTCATTCCTCCAATCAGGTAACTGGATATAATGCATTGTTAATGTTGTTATATATCAACGCCAGAATTTTCCGCTTTACGCATTACTTATTGTTGTACATTGTAAACATAAGACCCTTGTAAAAAGCAGCAGTCCAGTTTGTGTACTTTGGACGAAAATTCGATTGGATTTTGAAATATAAAATTACTGTCATAAATATCACTTAAAAGTACCATTTTCTCTGAGCGCAGTTCATAAACATGGACAAATACGAAATCAATGTATTTTTCCCCATACTTCTCTAAAATATACAGTTCTAATCTGATGGTGACACATCCCCACTTCTCATCGAGACGCACACCAACGTTACAATTTTGCCCTTCTGAGTAATGCGATTTTTATAAGGAGAAAAATTTAGAACTTCAAACATTCATAGTTGAAAACGCAGTTTTCTGCGTAGACATACTCTATATAATCAATGTACCGTTACACTTGGCTGGATTGCCTTACACAGCATCTCGGGATGTCTTGCATGGTATATTTTAAACAGAGGGTTCTGGGAGAACATTGGAAATGGAATCCAAGGGATTTAGAAAATTGTTTAGACTAATTTATGAGTGCAGTAACAATTTCTGTGGCAGTATAACAATGCCTTAATCCTAATAACTCTGGGGTACGCTAAATCTCCATGAAACTCTATAAGGGGACCACATTCTCTGTACCTTCATTGATTCCAACATGGAGAAAGTGCGAACATTTTAAATGAATGCACCATTCCATGTTAGATGCAAAAGCCGACTTCATTATGTAGCTGTTAATATAAGGAATATATATGATAGAATTTTATTTGAAACACGGCCACGAGAAATCAATTTGAATTGATGGCAATAATTTAAGAAGCCATCCATGTACATAGAAAACATTTTGTTTTGTTTTGCTTTGCATTGCAATGTACCATAGTGTCTGAAGGGTAGACAAAAAGACTTGAGGGGATGTGAGAATTGGCTGCTGATGAGGTTTGCACATAAAAGACATAGGTATGAAGAAATGGCGAAATTATATATTGAGGAATTACTGTGCCCTTCGCCTAGTAACGGTCAGGTAATTAAACCATGAAAAATGGGGTGAGTGGGGCAAGTGGTGCAGAAGAAAAACATGAAAATTCAAAATGTGATGAGAAGAAGCCCCTTGGAAGCCTGAGGCATATGTGGGTGTGAGGGCACACAATGGATTGAGCTGGCTTTTAGCATGTGGAGCTTTATTCCTTGCCCTCCCTCCCCAGCAAGTTGCTTACACACACTTTTATTTAACTTTACTAGTTGCTGAAATGGAAAGTCAAGTCTCGGCAGTATAGTAGAACCATATAGGAAAGAGCTTTTACATGGCACATAAAGCACTACATATATGATTTCCTTCAGATGATGCAACTGCAGTTTGTGATGGAAAAGTACATCTCATGCAAGAAAATGGTCATTCACCTGTACAGCGGGATTCACTACATTCTGACTCCCAATCCAACAATGATGCAAGGATAATAGATTGGTCTTCCCGTCAAAGTACAATGCTACGATTGGAACGGCTAGTCATGCGTGCTATTCACGCTCAAACTGAAGCTGTTACAAAGGTCTTAAGTGCACAAAGTGAGCTGTTCACACAGATGGTGGAAGCTGATAGGAAGCGACAAGCAAGAATGGAAATTAAATTGGACCGTTTACTTGAACGACTAGATCAGAGTCTGTCTTCTGTATCAGCATCAATGGCTGTCAATAAATCGATTGACAAGAACAGGGAACAAGATGCACAACTTAATCGGTTATTAGACAGGCTTGACTGGGCTATACCTCATGTACTTCCTACAGCTGCTTCCATTCAGTTTGAGATAAGCAAAAGAAATCAAGAGTCAAAGCTAGACAGTCTTCTAGACAAATTAGATAGATTACTTCCAACTCTGAATCCACAGGTATTTAAAGGTCAACAGACATCAGAATATCCATTGGAATAGACACATAATATGCACAAGTAGTAGGTTGGTCCTTGAGTAGGTTTACTATAGATTTAGTCGATTTGTGTTACATTTATTGTAAATTAAGGCTGTTTTCTCATAAGACATTAATAAAGAGGACATGAAGGTATGGACTGGATTCATATGACTCACAACAGACTGAGACTTTTGTAATTATTATAATAAACTACTGATGTTGATTCATTGCTTTATAGCATTAGACATTACTGAAGGCTGTACCAACTGCTATAGCTTTTCCTTTGTGTTCATGTGTACACAGATTGTATCTCGCAGTAAGGTATGAATTTGCTGTGTGATGATCTGCTCCATTACAGTATTCATGGAAGAGTTCCATTCAATATTATTTTGGTATTGGAGCTGATTTGTATGAAAGTTTCATTTACCACATTTAGTAAATAATTTGACTTGTCACATATTTTTGTAAATTTACCTGTTATACAGTACAGGCATGAAACTTGGTCATGCTAAGTGAAGGACACATTATGGGAGTTTAGGAAAGGGCACTTTGGACAGTATTTGGACCTAAGAGGGTGGAAGTAGCGGGAGGTTGATGAAAGTTGCATAATGACACACTTCATAAGAATTGTTCTATTTTCTGGGATGTAATACCATGTCATCTGAAGTTCATTAATTTGTTAGTTTCTTGCTTGGCTTACTCTATCAGAATACATGGTATTTCATCGCAGATGATAGTATTCTTCATAGTCACCTCTATGAGATTCTTGAATCCAACATAGAAGCTTCATAATTTCTACACTTCACCAAGTAATACTAGGATCAAGCATGGATCAGATGGATGGGACATGTAGTACTCATGTGAGAGATGAGAAATACATAACAAGAGTTCTGACTGAAAAACCTGAATGGAAGACCTAGGTCCAGATGGGAGGATATAAAAATGAATCTCAAAGAAATGGGGTAGGAGGATTTGGACTACATTCATTTGGCTCAGGGCTCTTGTGAAATCTGTGTTCCATAAAAGTTGGGTAATATTTTGACTAGCTGAGCAAGTATTGCCTTTTGAAGGATTGTTCCATGGAGTTGGTACAAAATACAACATGAACATAAATAACCAGATGAACTATTATGAGGCAACATAGGCCTTATGGTTGTTGCCTTTATACCTTTCTTTCTCTGTAATTATTAGTATCTGTGCTATACAGTGTGACAGTCCAAACCTTTTAAAACTCTTTAATGGACGCTATGTTCCTCTTTAGCCATTTCAATAGAGTGACTGATTTATAAGGGAGACCCATCCATTAAGAAGCTATGCTTCTCGCATTTAGACAGGAACTGCCTTGTTTTGTTACCTGCAGCTTGGGTGACCGCAAAAGGGACATGACGCCGCCATCGAAAGGCAAGTCTGCAGTTTGCCGAAGATGTAAATTTTGTTTTGTTAATAGGGTAGCTGTTATAAAAGTGTCTTCGGAAGGGTGTAATTGGACCCTAAACTAAGAAATAACCGCTTTCACATGTAGGGTTCCGGGTTCAATATCTTTGGATCTCTTTATTCTCAAAGTTAGTAATGTGATTGTCTAGTACTGATGGTATGATGAATTGGCAGTTAAAATCAGCCATTAGGAAACTATTCTTGTCTGGGAGAAAGGCCGTCGGTTCAAATCCTTTACAGTGGATGAAGTGACGCTCCCGCAGGATAGAGTGGGCAGAAGGACTTGGCATTTAGAATTCATCAGAGGCAGATGTCATTGGGCTGCACTCTCCAAGTTTCTCTAAATTTAACAGTCTTTATTTGGTTCGATTAATCTTTGATGATAATAATAAATGGCACTTTACTCCGTACTTGCCAATAAAGTTATAGTGTTTGCTTCTGAAATAAACAATTTGTGATTAAGCAGAAAATAGTGTCTTGATTTCTAGCAGTGGACTAGCTTTAAATGTGCAGTATCCTCACTGCCTCAGTTATTACCGTGACACAACCCTGAGAAGAGTCGAGCGTTCTACCGAAGCAGGCAAATAAATAAATAAATAAACAAATAATAAATAAATACAATAATAAAAACGGGACGGTCACAAGAAGTGGCGCTCAACGTGGGGCAAGAAGTGGTAGCCGAGGTGAATGGTTACAATAGTACCTTACACTATGCTGTTTCTGTAATTGGTCTTGTAGCTGTTGGCTCAACATATAATAAAGAACTGGGCTTAAATTAATTTTCCTAAAATTTTCACAGAATTAACTCTGACTTTAAAGTATATAATACTTATACTTTAATCAGTAAGACAGTTTGTAAATAATTAAAAATGTGCAGTGCAATACAATTAGCACTTCAGAATATACTTCCTAAGTAACAAGCAAAACACCAATAACATAATACTGATGATGATCATCATGAAATTCTCGAGCAGTTCCAATGACCAGTCATGATGAGAACAAAGGAAATTTCATAGAATCCCTTCCCTACTCAATCAAGACCTCGCCATTCATGATTATCACTTATATGCAGTTTTAAGAAACTAAGATCTTAACTACAGTCATTAACTGGGTAAGTCCAATCATCCAGTGTAGAATTCACTGCAACTGCATACCCAGCTGTCACTGTTCCACTAACGTTGTACACAGAGGCAGACGTGAGAAGTATTTAAGAAACGTATTGCCAGAGATTTTGTTTTAAAAAGACTTGTATTAATATAACACAACAAAATAATGGACATTTTTTAGGAGTGTGGGAATCACCTCACCCAGTGCATTAATCTGGTTTACGCTAAATGTGATCATATGGAAGAAAACACTTTTCCATCCTTCTTTAATCTCATTTAAATAGATTGACCGGCAATGTTATGCTACTGTATGTGACATTTTTGTAATTGCTATTTTCACAGGACAGACTTTTGTAACAAATAAAGCTGCTAAAATATACTGTGTTATAAATCTTATTTATTCTGTACAACTGCACTATCTAAGTTAGAAGCAGTACACAATAATTGTTAACCCTTCCGCGACGGATAGTATTTAAATATTTTCCTACTGCCAAACCGACGGGGTATTTAATTATTAAACAGAAAAGTTCTCTTATCCATGAAAAACTTAGTAACTCTCGCAAAAATAGGTATATTGAGATAAAATTTTCACAGAAATATTCATAATGAAACGAAGAACAAAACTATATATATATATATATATTTTAATATAATTATGATAAATAATATTTTTTTACTCACTCGAACTGCTAAAAGTCGAGTTTGGTGTGGTAATCCTGAAAACACTTGTCAATACATAGCCCAACATCACAATCACTGCACCAGTACACGGTTTCTTTTCTTCTTTTGTTTTTTGTACACACTACACATCGCCTTTGTGGTCTAGCCTTTTTTCCTGATGGGGGAATTTTACTAATAAAATGTCTTTCACGAAGCCGGGGGATGGTGTTATCTAAATGGAAAAACCCTCCCACATATAAATTTGTTGCGCATAAGTGTTTGTTTCCTGAACGATATTGTTTACAAAATCCTCAGTAAAAAATTGTAGAAATGTCAAGCACATTCACAGACTGATTTCTCTGCCCCGAATTTTCAGAAAACCGTTTGCGAACGCCATCATAATTATCCATATTTTGCCAAAAATAACTCTCGTCTGAATCCGCCACTGGAACCCTCGCCACTATTTCGTCGTCATCTTCAATACTATGATCTTGGATAGCATCAACTACAGCCTGATCTTCAATTTCATTATCACTGTTTTCACTACTATCCGAATATTCGAACTCACTAACTTCCGAGTCGTGAGCAAGGAGCTCATCTAGTTCATCGTCCTGTAAAACTTTCCTACTTGTAGAGGCCATGGTTATGGCGCGACTGAGAGAAGAAAGTGTTATGACATCATAGATTTCTGTATCATTCGTAAGTTTGTTTTCTTAGGTTGCATTTGGTTCCAAGAAAAAAGGACCCTCTTGTTTGACTACTTCATTGTGTCAGCAGAGTGTACAGCAACCCACTCAAGGAAAACCTTCGTCTGGGGTTTCAGTGAGTGACTCATATAGACAAGCAAAGACCATAGAGTCGAAAGATATATAGTTTTATACATTTTCCTTACTTAGAATTTGAAAAACTTCGATGCAATCTAGGCGCAATGAGACCAAAGTACGAACTATTACACTAACGATATAAAATAAAAATACCGTGCTAAAAATTCGTCCAAAATAAATAACTCATATACCAATTGAAAGATGAAACCTTAATCTATGTACTCCTGAAAAGAAAATTGGAATATCTTTCCTCGTTTTGTCAGCAACGTCCTTCAAAGCTAACACTGCGCAGGTCGGTACACTGCACCGATGTCGGTGGCATACGATTATTTAAAGGGTCGGTGCGGAAGGGTTAAGTTCTGAGGTTTTTACAGCTGTGGGTTGTGGTCCTGTCAAGACTGCAGTTACGACCCAGAAATCAAATTGTGTGGAAGTATGAATTTATTTTAAAATGGTTTGCTTGTTATATTTCTGACCTAAGACATAAAAACAAAGTTACTGTCTACAACAGAGTGGTCAGATGTGTTAAAAAATAATGGCTATACATGAAACTTCTCTTAACATAATGTTCAATCACATTACATTTTCGTAACATGGGAAGAATTATGCTCCTCACCTAGCATTTCCAGTGCTGAAGGGAAGTCATGGAAAACCTCCGCCATGTAGCCAACCTCTGGGCTAAGAAGTGAATCTGGGACCCCAAAAGGGTGGAAACAAGAATACTAATCACTCAACCATAACACTCAGGTGCTCAGTAGGAAGGCATATAATGGTGCAGGAGAAAGCTGCACAGTCTGACTGCCTTAACCTTGATTATCACCAAACTAATGGTAAGATTGGCCAAGAACTGCAAAATGCAGCATCTAAAACTGAATGCAAACTACGTACTATGTCACGAGTCTCACAATAAAAATCATGAGCATAATTTTAAAAGGTCTGTTACTGATACAATTTTTGTACATTTTATAAAACCTCATAGACATTTAAACCATCAATCAGAATATAATATAATGCAGTAAACTCCTGCTTACCTGGTATCCAAGCATTCAAATTCTCGTCCAACTACGAGGGGAACATCTTATATAGTTATTTGAAAACAAATCTGCAATGCAAACATGTCCACCTGTCGTACAGTTCTGCCAGCCATAATTTCTGTGTGCAAAGTGTAAATTAAAATAGACATTCTTCGAATTGAAATGAGAGCTAAATCTCAATCATATAATGTAGAAAATTATGGTAATTAAATTTTGTGTTTTGAAAAGACAGAGAAAACAATGAACAAATTAAATCAACACTTCTGAATGTGCATCTTCTGGAATTTTAAAAACTCTGTATCATGCAGAACACATTTTTCTTACCCTTACTGACAGGCCACTGCATCAGTGTTTTGAAATATCTGTATGTGTGAGTAACTTAAAAAAAATTCAAATCACAACTGAAGAGCAGACTTAACAAAATAAATATTTACAAAGCGAATTAAAATAGTTACTTCCTCTTACATCTACGTTCAAATATGTGACCCAATATAACATGAGCAGTGCCACATATTTCACTGATGTTAAGCAGTTTAAACTGTCCTACATACTGAGTTCAGATAATTGTTATATTTAATTCAGTTATATAAAAGATTAATAAGAAATAATATAACCATAATTAGCATCACTTGGTACAATAACTTCCAGCTGGCCTTCATGTTTGTATTCCCCAATGTTACCCTTGCTCCAAAAAGGCTGCACACTTCTTATCTAGATCTAGCGACTGACCGACCTCCATGGCCTGTAGTTCGCAAGTGAACTATACGGACCAAGCGACTCCTGCTTGTCGGAGAAGTTAGTCAATCTAGATCTAGCATTAAAAATGTAAATAGTATAAGTATGACTCAAGTCTTAACTCTCATGAAGTAGCACTTATCCCTGATCGTCACTGTGTATTACTCTTACTTCTGCATGGATCTTGCATCCTGTGAAGAAAGATATTATTATACTAGAAACATTGTCATTCTATGATTATGCAACATTATAAACAGATGCTTATAATAATGGTATGAGTGTGAACAAAACATAAGCAACAGAGAAATCCACAATATCATGTTACTTTCTCAGATAATAAATCTTTTAAAAGTAATTTCACAGCCACATATGAGACAGGTTTCCACAGTGGTCTTGAAAATTACGACACTGTGTAGTTTCGCATCTGTACCAAATATCAAGTCTTTACCCTGAATTCTATGACAAAGGTTTGGCTCATGATACATATTCTCAAACTTCAAATTTCAGATGTGACAAAGAAAAGACAAAATATTGAATGAACCTCTACTCCCACTGCACACAAAAGGGGGACATAATTAAGAGGCTTACTGAGCTTGCTTGATTTCTATTTTTAGTACCTGTGTATCCTAACATCTGCACTGGACTGAATGGCGGATGTGTCTTGTGGTGTGAGAAAGACAAACTGGTAGTTTGTTTTCTGTTGAGAATGGGCCAAAAGTAAATCCAGTATTACTCGGCGATTCACTTTATCCTGAAACGTAAAACATGTAACTAAGACCTCAGAACAGTGACTTACCAAAACACCCATGGAAATTCAATAACTATGTACTATGTTCATATATATACAAGTAACAATCACTTTTTGATTTATGTCTAGATGTTTGTGATATTTTCTGCATTTTGTACGTATTTGTTCCACATGTCTGGTAAGCCCACAGCTTACCCCATTTACTCTAATTTGACATGTTACCCACTATTTTTTACTTCCTGAATCAGGGTGCAGTACATTCAATATTTCAGAATATCGGTATATGAAAATTAACATGTAATGTGTACAAACAACACCAATGTGTTCCATTTATGAATAAGTTGCTCCCGAATTCAGAGTGGATTTCTGGTAACAGGTTTATATCCTATGCTACTGTCAAACAGAATATGAAATAAGTACTAACAGGGCCAATTTACACTTATATGTCAGGAATACACATTTTAAAACAAAATATGAAGTTAAATATGGTGGCAAGACATGGAGTGATATACATAAAATAACCACACATGGCAGAAATGAGAACTTTAAAGACACTCAGATGGATATACAGCTAGGGGATGGGGAACAGTCATGCATAAGAAAATTTTAAGGTCAGTAACATGCTTGAAGGGAACTACATATAGGAACAGATGGAAGAACAAAGTAGAAGGTAAGAGTAATGACTGCAGGCCAACATACTGTGGGATTACAAATCTGTAGGACAAAGTTCAGAAGACTGCAAAGCTGCTGGAAAGAAGATTCTGGGGTTGATACATGAACACAGATCCCTACTCCATGAAAACAAGAAGTATTAACAAACGAGGAACTTAAATTCACTGTCAGTTATCCCCAGATGAATTGGCAGAATGTCTGCAGCAGGTACAGAAATCTAATTACCTGGTATTATGGCAACCAGATTTGTCAATTTGTATTACTAACTGTACTGTAGTATTTGATTTTCTTACCATAAAAACGTCAAACTCATCCAAGAAATAGAATGGAGGATCAATAGCATCCCACAGGGCCATGATGAAAGAAACTGTGGCATACGACCGTTCCCCTCCAGACAGGGACTTTGTCTCAGCTGCCATCTCCCTTTTCTCAGATGGAGACACTCTGATTTCCAGTGTCTGTTCACTGTGATCAATCATAATTTTACCCTGAAATCAACAAACACCAGTATTACCCCATGCGGGAAGATTCAAAACACAAAAAATGTGACACAATCTCAACTTTCTCCTTCAAATAAAAATATCCTCTTCTATCCCCAAAGTCATCCAGCATCTTCTTACGTCTTCTTCCTCATCTTCTAGTCACTTCTATCTGCCCCTTCAGTTTAATCTCGCATACATGGTATCGCTGTTTTTGGAAAGACTATCCAGGAAAAGTGATAATGTGGTAGTTTTTCCATTTGCTTTCCACATCGCAGTATAACAGCTGTTCAAACCACTCTGGTCATGCCTGTTGCTATACGAACTTGAACCATCTCGAGCATCGTTTCTCTGTGCTTCAAGTCTCTGCTGATGACGCTGCTTCCGGCATCAGTTTTTGGTTTTTGGTGTCTCTCTTCGTCTGATGGCTACCCTTTGACCTGTCCAGCAAGGGAGACCCTGCCAGCAGCTACGCTACCGCTGGTATACCTCTCAGGGTCCTTGGCATACTCAAACCCCCTCACCACGATAGGGTGGAGACACCAACAAGGGGGTTTCCAGATTACATACCAAAACATGCTTAATATACATACAGTCAACTCTCGATTATCCGGGGGCGGATTAACCGGTTTGCGGCTTAACCGGGGCTACTGACGCTTTTTTGAGGCTTATATGTTGTTTAACATTCATTCACTTTTGTTTCACATGGCGAGTTGTAACACTATTTTCGCACTAGTGTGAACCGAGCTCTGCATTCTTTGGTCCCGTTATGCTAACACAATGTTCTAGGGTAGGGGTGAAAGAATGCAAGGATTTGTGGAAAGTTTCAAGGACAGATACATCGCCCCAGTTAGTATCTTTGTATCGATCTTCAAGTGCGTTAGCAAAATGTCAGGCTGTAAAAGGAAGCGTGTTGTGTTAAGTATTCAACAGAAAAAGGAAAATGCCG